CGAGGGATAAGCAAAAACAGTATTGGGCATCATGGTAAAATGTTTAATTGGAGGACCAAAATTTTTATATAAAATGATCCCAGTTGCAAAATTAGAAGTAACATTTTTATATGAAAATATTTTTTTATATTGTTAATGCAATCAAACAGTCAAGTAACTGCATTTGTATGTAACAATAAAAAGACCCATCAATATTTTTTTCAAAAAGGTTGATATCGATTTTAATTAACCTTGGATAACTAAAAATGGCTTGTACTTATTTTTGATTATGTCCACCATTTTATAAATATTCGGAATGACTTGATTACTGAAGCTACTTCTAAATTATTATTTTATTCTGAAGGCAAAAAGATGTTAGATGGAAAATTGTAAAATATCTTTTTGAGTATGAAAAACACGATTCATTAAGCTCTCAAAGCTAATTGATGTAGAAGTTTTCACCAAAACCTATTGATCGACAAATTGTTTCTCATTTTTTAAAGGTTTTGTGATCAAACTGTAGCTGCCATTAAAACACACACATTATTAAATGGGGAGAATGCTGCAGAAACAGTTAATTTTATAGAAAAATTAAAAATTTTGGAAAATTGTTTGTGTCAAAGAAATATATGGTGAAACTAAGAAAAATGATCCACTGAAAAAAGTGGTATCAGATTCAGGTGATAAACATTTGTTATTTCTTTCTAATTCTGGCAAAAAGAGAAAAAGAATAATAGAAAACAAGGAAAAAGAATGAAATTATTAACAAGAGATACTAGTTTAACCATTGAACATACATGCCATTGATCCAAACCGTGTATTTCTGTTTGAGTAAGTAGCACATAATGAATAGTTTTAAAGGTGCCTTTTGGGGCAGTTGAACAGATAAAATTATCTATCTATCTATCTATCTATCTATCTATCTATCTATCTATCTATCTATCTATCTATCTATTTCAGTCTCAGTCTCTATCTATCTATCTATTTCAGTCTCAGTCTCTATCTATCTATCTATCTATCTATCTATCTATCTATCTGTTTGTATACTCATATTTACAATGTATGTGTTGTATACATAAAAAGAAGCGAGGCACTTATCAGTCTGATACTGAGTAGTGTTTTGAATTATTCACCCTCGTCTGATAGCAGGTCCTAATTAAAAAATGTGTGTGTGCATGTGTGTGTATGTGTGTGCGCGTGTGTGTATGTGTGCGTGTGGTGGGGGCAAGAATATGATATTTTAATATCTGCACTGAATTGCCTTTTCTTTTCTTATGCCATTCCTTCTCTTCCGGTTTTTTTCAATACCACTTCTGGAGAAATGTAGCGAGCTATTTATTTTCGTTTATTTAGAAAGATCTTAAAATGCTTATGGTAAATAAACTCTCTCTCTCTCACACACACACACACACACACACACACACACACACACACACACACACACATATATATATATATATATATATATATATATATATATATATATATATATATATATATATATATATATATACTAGCAGCATGGCCCGGCGTTGCCCGTGCTTGATTAAAAAAATCGTACGACTCATACAGCAATCGCTATCACTTGACTTAAAATATTTTTACTCTCCCTTGCCTTTAATGGAGTGCCCTTTGCCGTGCTGATGTTGCTACATGCCTTACTTCTTGCTTATCTCACACTGCGAATTTTTCTAAGCTCTATACTAAACATTAAATCTGTTACGAAAAAGAACTAAACAAAATGAACATAAAACGATCAGCTTTAAAAAAGGACTCGTAACTGGAAAAACCGAATGAAAAAAGAATGTTAACAACAAATACTTTTCACACCCAATCCAATTCTGCGGAATCAGAATCAACGTTGAGTTTAAGCAAGTGAATGAGCCAATTGGAGTAAAGTGCAATGCAGATTAAATTTTTCCTACTTGTGACGAATGCAGCTATCGATTTTTTGCATGCTAGCATGCTAGTTAACATTCGTGTCAGTCAGCTGTTGACTCTCACGCTGGCCAATAGAATTTTCCTGCCTATTCGTGGCAGCCAGTTATTGGCTCTCACTCTGATCAGTACAAAATGGCCGCAAGCTAAATGAAAACTGCCGTAGAAGCATGAAAAAATCGACTATTTCCACTATCGATGGGAGTTGGGAAATGCAAAGTCGATCTTGGCCTTCCCGCTAACTTGAACCATGTGCATGTAAACTTTGTTACAAATCCTTCGAAAATTCGTTACACACACATCCTGCCTTTTATAGATAGAGATAATATGCAAGCTTCATTAAATATAACAAAGTGCTTTGATTATGTTTTTTATATAATTTATCGTATGATCTTATAAATTTTTTTTTCTTTTCAGTAGATATTATACAAAACCTGTCCTAATGTTTTATTTTTCCGAGCGCTTTCGGCTATACATTTAGCCATTTTCAAAGATGGAATATATCTACTGTTAATTGGAAAATGATTGTTGTATGTATATATTTAGTATTATAAAATGTTTTATTTTTAAAACACAGTCAACATTCAGAAGAGAAAATGGCTTTTTTTGAATAACTAAGCAATTGAACTATGAAAACAACCAACAAAACAATCGCTTATTTATAAAGACCAAAAAAGACCGGGACTAGAAATGAATAACAAAACAAACTTATTGAAAACATTGATTTTTAAAGTAGATTATGTAAATTATTTACTGCTATTAAATAAGAAATGATAAGTTGGCCAAGATATAAGGCACATGTTTGTGGTTATAACTGAAAAAAAATTGCGTTAATGATACCGTTTTACTTGCGGGCACGCACCCATACACACACACACGGAGAGACGATTAACTTTAAATATTCAATTAAGTTTCAGGATATCGAGTGGAAACACACACAAACTTCGACCTTTATATTTTACGTATGTGTGTGTGTATGAATATGTATGTTCTGGTGTTAGTATATTTCTTCTCACCATGAGACCAGGGTTCGAATCTCACCATGGTCGATTTGTTAGGAAGGAGACTTCCTGATGATATCGGAATGGATCGAGGTTGATCCCAGCATGCGAAACCTTTGGAAAGTGCCTGAAAATCATACCACGGTTTTGACCCAAGCCTTGTGAGCGTCTGCAGTAGGGATTGGTTAGTCGCCTTAGTAGACGGGTATTGTCGAATACGATTGGCCAGCGATTTATTTTCTTATACATGCTTATTTATGCGTTCATGCATTCATGTGTGTATCTATAAATGTACATACTTTCATTTATATGTATACCATGTCAGATTTTATTATAAAAGTTAATATTTTCATAATAAAGTTGATATATTATTTATTTGCAACAATGTAGAATATGTGGCTCGAGTCCGATGACTGGCGGCAAGGGGACATTTCAGTTCTCCCTATTCTGTCATTAACTCATCTAATCGCATTTACTAACACAACTAGGATAGAATAAAAAAAATGATTCCGATATGACAATAAAATAACTGTAAAAATGAGAAAGACAAATGCAGTGAATTAAAAAAAATTAAAAAAGGATAGTTAAGCATAAACTACGTTCCTAAGTCTTAACAAATGAAAAACAAGCCTATTCTACCTGCAGCTTCGCTCACACGTCTCAGAAACATAAAATCCCTTACAAGTCAGATCAAAATGCTACTTTAAGTTATTCTATTTTACATTACAAAACTGTGCCATCAACTCGCTTTTAGAGTCCAGAGTGTCTCTCTCTCTCTCTCTCTCTCTCTCTCTCTCAAATTATGCAACCAGATAATGAAAAAAAAAATAGATAAATCACCCTGAAATTCCTTGATTAGCAGCAATTAAATAATCATTCACGTCATGGTTAATAATCACAGAATAAAATTTTGTTTCTTCTACTTATAGAACTACTGGTCCATATTGCTACAAGCAGAAATGTCCTACAAATAAAAAAATTAAAGCACGCGACCCATGTAGTCTTCAACAAACACACACAGCTGGGGTACAACCAGGCGGCAAAAAAAAGGTGTGTTCGCTGGTATCATCCATGTCACAGCAGCTGAGGCATTCTAGCAAAACAATTTGTTCCGCTTTTTGCCGACCCAGAATCATCAGCCAGGTGAGGGATACCTCGTCATTATTGAAGCATTTCAACCAAGGCACACAAAATCATAGGGAGCGATATTCTCCCTCGTCAGACCGATCACCGTGATCAAATTGTCTCGTTCGGCTCTACTTACTAACACTTGATATAATGCCTTTCTCAATAACGACCGGGTTTCAGAGGCCAGTCTCAGAGCATATCAATATTCGCTGAAAAAAAAAACCCCACTCATTTTGAAAGAAACAACGAGCAACCCCCCTCATCATCCGAATGCTTACCTGACACTTTTCTTCGAAAATCTACTGTTATTTTCATATTGTGGGCACCTCTGTTCAAGGGCATGTAACTGTAAGGTATGCCAACGGATTTTGATATTCAGCATCTCCTGACCGCGATCTGAAAGATGGAAGCAACAGATACCGCGATACACAGTCAGATTGAGCTTAAATAGAGTTCTTTTTAGCTAAGCGAGTTTAGGGCACTAAAGTCTGGTGAAGAATATAGGGCTAGACACGCGAAACACAGGAAAGATTATTGAAATCTGAGATCAACTGCAGATTCAAACAGCGACAAATTCTTCGCTAGCTGGAGGTTGGAACGGACGCTGAGTATCTTGCACGTCCCACCGGTCCAACTGAAGAGGTCCAGCAGAGAATAACGTATGCAACCCCAAGCTAATACACATACGGCGATTAAATTTGGACCGAGCTACCATCTCGAACAACCGAAATAATCAATCCCGAAATTGCTTGTTACAACTATAGAGACACTCTGTATAAAAAGAATGCTTAGCAAAGATGGTGGCGCCAGGTAACGTGATTCCGCGTAAACACATGGTCCGCCCACAAATTACCCAGGAAGGTTCTAGCGCAAAGACGTACAGATCGAGGGATTGAACTCACAATTGCTACGAAACGATTTATGTTTGGAACAATGCTTTAATCCAAGACGACTTACGGCTAAATCATGTTGAAATACCGGTTCCCGTACGATCACCGAAGATAAGCAACGTCAAACCTGATCAGTACCTAGATGGGTAACCGTTTGGGAATACCAGGTGTTGTAAACTTATATATGCAGTTGATGTAATGGATAAAGACTTGGAATTATTAATCGAGCAGCCGAATCCCAATTTTAGTTGAGTTCGTTATATTCACAGGCGCAAATATCCTTGAGAAAGGCATGAATCCACCTTTCCTCGCTCCATCAATGGGTCAATTAGTAAGATTTGTATCACTAAACCATTATTGTCTCCCCGCCCTAACTCTTAAAAATTAAAAATATAATGGGTGATAAGCTGAAGAAAACAAATCAATCAATCAATTTAATCCAAGTGGTAATATTTGTTTGAAAACCTATTTCGTCCCCTGGCAGTAGTGAGCTCAATCCATGGATAGTATTGAAAAAGTCACATACTTTGCTTCAATGGAAGACAAGGAAACCAAAGGTGAATAAGACTGGTGAATATTAACTGATATGAAATATCCTGGAAGACTGTAAAGAGGGACGCAATCAACCAACTCACTCGATTGAATAAAAGATTTAAATCTGAATTTCAGGAAGGTTACAAAGTCCGTTGACCACAAACACCTGGGGAAGTTATGAGTTTAACAGCCGAGATAAGAATGTTGTTCTGAATAGCAAGGCACATAATAATAGTAATTACTCGTCTAAAGAATTCCGACATAAATTATTCGCAGGAGTTTTAACCTCGTGGTTAAAAATCGCGATCAAGAATCAAGCGCTAAAAGTACCCACAATATCACGATGGGGTTGATCCGATGAGAAAAGCAAACCGCTAAGTGTTGTCACTTAGATAAATTAGAATGCTTTCTCATTTATGGTAGTATTTTACAGTCTGCGTGTCGGATATACATTACACGAGAAAAGTGTTTAAGAGAAACATCACGAATTTAAATAAAAATAGACTGAGAACAGGCAAAACCTGTAAACTGTACATTTTCATAGACACCTGCAGTAAGTCTTTCAAACAACATATATCATACTAAAGCAGTGAAGGTCCCAAAGAAATACTTTTAGACTTTGTCCATAGCCCTCGTCTTCAGGTATATGGAATATATATTAGTAGACGGGAGTGATATTGTACCACAATGTCTGATTAAATCCTTCTACCAGGGGTGGTGGGCGTGACTACTTTTCAATGGTCGAGGCTGATGGAAGAGTTAGTTGTTCGGCCATTCATCCACAGACAACATTTGTAGAGATGACTACTCTGCAATGTCAGCATATCGGGATTTTTGCCCCCCAAAATGACAGGTAGATTCCTGCCATTGTCTATACAGTTGGGAATGGCGTTGAAAGCTTTCATGTCGCTCCACTAGGTCGAATCACCACTTTCCGCTTATGCGGTCAAAATTCACGGTTTGACGAAGAAAGCTGGGGCCACCACAGGGGCCAGACGTTAACCCTGGCGTTTTACGCAGAATAAACTTTATTTTGCTAGTTAGTGCCAAACAACTTTCCGGTATAAACAACAGTATGTCCCAAGTAGGAAAGGTTGTACGTTTTATCGCTTTTTACACTTTTTATATTATACTTAGCAGTGATTTGATCCCATAGTTTTTGTGGACATTACAATCTTAATTTTTTTTTCTTTCATCAATAAAAGTAAACAATTCTTTTCTCATTTCAGGCATATCAACCAGAAACCCATCCCCAATTATTGTGGGTGCACTGCCGCACTAGTTGGACCACATCGATTAAAAAAAAGAAGAGACATTCCAGATATTTAAAAGTGAGCCCCAACTTATCATTTCCATAGGTTGTTTTGCTTGGATGTATTTTTTTCGTTTCTTTGTCAATTTTCTTTCGTATGTTAGTCTTTTTGTAGCTTGTCTTGCATAGGCATTCGTCATTTACTCAGAAAAAAACTACCCTCCGAGGCAGCAAAAAACCTGCTGTGTCTTGCTAGTTGGGGCAAATCTATTCAGAACAGATCAACTGAAGTTCTCAGTCCTCTAATTACGAATCCTTCGACTAACAAAGTAGAAGAGAATCATGACGACCAGTTAAAGTCTGAAAAACCGACATGAAAAAAAAGAAAAGCGACATTGCTCGAATTTCCAAGATAAAGAGAGGAATGGATAAAGTAACATGTCACGGGTAAACGAAAAAGTCGAGTAAAAATATCTAAGCAGAAGTGAATATAATGATTAACAAAAGTTAAAATCGGTAAACATCGTCAGAAAACAGTGCTAAGCTGTTACAATATATCTCATCAGCAGTGAATACTAGACAATTTCCTCACTGATGAAGAAGAAACTCGAAGCGACAGAGATATAGTTCTATCGAAGAATATCATAGACAGAACGAGGAAGTCTTTATGAAAATAGCAACAACAATGAAATTAATGTTACCAGAAAGAGACAATTTCTGGGATATATGATGTGGAAATAGAGCTTGGAGAATCGCAATACGGATGTGAAGAGGTACGCACTGAGTATTGAAACATTCCATATCACATCCAGAACGAATCTATGAAGAGCAAACAGCAATCTTTCTTTTTTTCCTTCACGAGGCCAATCTTATGAGGCGGGATAATGCTGATGGTGTAGGTATTCATAGTTATAAGATAAGAATTATCTTGACTAGAAAAACATCCTCCACCAAGTGTTCCAAGAAATAGGATTCAAGATAAACCTTTCCAAAATGGAAACTATGATCTGGAATTGTAATGAAAACAGTGATGACGCCTAAAATGAATCCACTATAACAATTCAGGATGTGGAATTGGTAAATACGATAAACACTCTAAATACTTCGGTGTATCAACTTTAATATAGGCGATAATCGAACACAGAATAGGATGCGCTAGAGGTAGTTGCGCCCAATACTGCAAATTGCTACAAAACTAAAACCTTTCACGAAAGAAATCGAGTCATGATTTTAAATAGCTTCATCAGATAAAGAGTTTAATTTGGATGTGTTATTTATGACGCCAAAACCGTTCAGAAATATCTAAACTGTCAACAACAACTTTCTCAGATCGATGATTAAAAATGGTTTCGGGAATGAAGCCTGTAGGTTTTAGCAATGATAATCCTCCTTCGAATCTTGTGAACAACAGATTCACAAAGAACTGTACCAGATAACAGAAACCACATCATTTGAGGACTTCCAACAGCCAAAATGGACGGAAAATGTAACTCGAAGCGAAGATAATGACATAATCAACTTGTTGACCTTCCACTATACCTGAAATAAAAGGTTAGGCAGGAAGCCCCCATCAATATTGAAAAGCGCGATAACATATAATGGATTCCTGAAAAATTCTTTAAATATTTTAATCTTAAATATTTCAACTCAACATAGCACTGGCCGCTCGGTCAGTGAATGCCGAATGTTTACTGATAGGGAAAAGTTAAAATGACTATTATGACATTTAAGATTATGAAAGGTTAAGGGTTTTTATTTAATAGAGGTTTTACAAGGCGGTATAATTTTATATTAGAAGATTATTTCAATATAGAACACACCAGAAATTGGCGCCAATGAAAATTGGGGTGAACTTTTGCAGTGCTCGGATCTCTCTCTCTCTCTCTCTCTCTCACTATATATATATATATATATATATATATATATATATATATATATATATACCAAGTGTAACAGCAAAAATGTCCAAATCCTGTTACAGCATAATTGTCCATCCCACAAAATGTTTAATACCTAAAAAATCACTAAACTAATTGAGTTCCCTTTTTCCAGGTTTTCAGATAAAACGATTAGCCACCTTGACTACCATTTGTCGTAAGAATCACTGAAAAACCTTTTGAGTTATTCAGCTTTAAAATCATTTTGTGTCTGCACCACTGTCTTCTCAACTGAACAATGATGAGAGGAAAAAAAATCATTCAGGCCTTCAGCAATGGTTACGAACATTCATACTCTGGCTTCCATCTTCAAATTCAAGAACCATCAAGAGAACGGTGAATAAGTTTAGAAAAAAGGGAACAGTGGAGATGGGAAATGGATCAGGAGGTCACAGTAGGAGGAGAGATCATCATTTCATCTTAGAGCTAAAGAGATCAACTAGAAAAGATCCAACCCAATCTATCAGACTTTTGGCATGGGAGAGAGAAGTTTCACCTATGACAGTCCAAAGAGCAGTGAAAAATGACTTGAAAATGAAATCGTGCGTGAAACCAGTGAGGCAACTTGTTACCCAGGACAGAAAATTAGAAGTTTAGAGAGGGCGAAGATGATCATTGTATAAGTTGGAAAATGATCCTGTAATAATAATAATAATAATAATAATAATAATAATATATATATATATATATATATATATATATATATATATATATATATATATATATGAATTTTACTTGATACTTCATGAGCTTCTGATCCTTAGCTAAGATTAAATAATGATGAACATGTCATTTTCGTTTATGATCGATTTCATCACGACTTTTCTGTTAAGCTTGGAGAGTAATTATACATTCTTATTGCTCAGAGTAGACTTTAGTAGTGTTATAAAAACTTCGGAGAAATCCAGTAAAATAGCATCAATCATTTCTAAGATACAATGATTCAAATCTTAATCTCACAATTGGACAGTTTTGCTGTTACACAATTTGGACAATTTTGCCGTTACACCCAGTGTAATATATATATATATATATATATATATATATATATATATATATATATATATATATATTGATTATAAAAATCCAATAATTCCTAAGAAATTATTGCTTTGTTTATGATTCAGGTATGAATTTAACGTCAGCGGATATCGGCTTAGAAAGAAGACAGTCAGATGTGAATTTGCTAAAATTGAGCCTTGTTTCGCTGTGTAGTGTAATCATGGATGCACAGTATAAACTGATTTGAAGGTGGTTTCTACAATATAAGAAAAACGCAGGTTTGATAACTGCCAAAAGAATCGTTACCTTTATTCGATTGCTTAGGCTTGTAGACGTGATTATCACTATTTAAAATTGACTGTACAGTAGGATTCTAATAATTTAGGAACGAGTTACTTGGTAATTCGGGGCCAAGTGCTTTGTTGAAGAAAATTCCTACTCCTTGTTAAAG